TATCTATTTTTAAAAATCCTAGTACAATCCAAGAAATCTACATAGAACTTATAAAAAGATGCTCTGCTTCCTGAGTTGTAAACTGTAATACTATCTCCATGTTTTCAATTATTTACCACCTTCTTCCTGTGAGGATCATACCTGCCCACCTAGTATACGATCTTCAGCCTTCACCATGTGACTTGCTTGGTGAGTGAGATATAGGTGAAGAGTGATATGTACCACTTGCAAGCAGAAGATTCAGGAGCCACAGCGGGTTCTGTTGTGTTTCCTTTTCCCTCTATTGTGAGACCAGCATGTTCCATGTAGAGGTTACACTTTCAACCTTCAGTCTTGGTCCAAGAATCAAGAAGACATGGACAGAACCAGAGCCAACCCACCAAGGGAATGTAACATGAGCAAGGAATAAACCACTGTTACTGTAAGTCCAGAAGATTTGGAGGTTGTTACTGCAGCACAACCTGGTGAAAGTTGACAGTGATGAAATAAATGCAAATCAAAATATTGAGATGTTATTTCATATCCATATGACTTGGTCAAAATTAGTTAAGTCTGATAGTAAGAAGTGCTGTAGACAATGCGGAAAAATTAAATTTAGTAGTTGCTGGTTGGAATTTAAATTGGCACAAGCACCTTGGAGATTACTTTGGCAGTATCTGGGAAAAATGAAGATGTAAAACTGCATCTTATTAACCTAATAACTCCACTACTAGGTGTCTACCCTGAAAGAATTCTTACACAACATGGAAATGTGTAATGTTCACTGAAGCAGTGATTATTATACTATATAAAGAAATCAACCATCCCTCGGGAAGGAAATGGATAAACTGGTTCAGTCATTCAAAGGAATACTATACAGCAGTTACAATGAATAAGGTAGATTTAAACATAAAAAGATACATGCAGTGCAAGAGAGGAGATGGGAAGGAGTCTTTAGCAATGGCTTTAATGTTGTATGTCCTTTAAAAAAATCTAAAGCACATTGCAAAATGGTAATATCTGATTAAAATTTTTATGATAAATATATGTCTCTTTTATTATTTTATTTTTTGTAGGTTTTAAATATATTGTGGTTTTTAAAAAGATAGGGAACAGAAAGAGTTTTAAACCATAAAGCACACTGATCAATCTTGAGGCTTGGTGATATAAAGAACTCTAGAGATGACAGCAGCCTTCTAGATTATCTAAGTAAGCCTATGTCCTATAGCTGAAGTCAGTTCCTGGGCATCAGTGTGGCCCACAGAGGCAAAGTAAAGGACTCAAGCTCACATAACAAGTAATCATCAAGTTGGTTCTCAAAATCAACTCTCTAACTTCTAGGATAGGAAGGAAAAACAATGGACATGTGGTAAAATACACTGTAAATCAAACTCAAAACACCATTCTTTTGTTTTCTTTATTGCCCCCACCTCACTCCTGAGACACACAAGTATCAGCTTCTTTCTCTCTCTCTCACACACGCACCACACACAAAACTTTAGGAATTTTTTCATTTTCTATTGTCACTTCTCTTCTTGAAATAACTGAAATATCAGAACAACTGTAAAGGAAACGAGTAGAATAAAATTTTAGCTAATACGAAGATTAAAGGCAAGGACCCATGAATCATTCATCTTAGTACCCTCCACGCCTTGCACTACAATACATACTGAAACATATAATAAATTATTGTTCAAACAGACAGACCTAAGATTTCTATCTTACCACACTGAATATTTTTATTGTTGTTAAAGTATAAATTCAGTTTTTAATAAACAAGAGTGAAAGAGATTAGGGAAAAAATGGTTTTGACATTCAATAGATTTGAAGATCAAAGACTATTATTATTTTAAATGAGCAAGATCGGTCCCATATGTAGCAGATAAAGCAGTGTAGTTCAGTGGTCAGGTTCAAGACCTCCAGAGTCAAACTGCCAGGACAGGAATTCTGGCTCAGCCACTAAGTAGCTGTGAAATTCTGGGCAAGCTACTGAACCTCTCTAGTTATCTAACATACTGCACCGTAACAACACAGACACCCATAACAACACCTACCCATATAGATTCTTATGTAAGCAATACATGAGGCAATCCATTCAGAGGTCTTCACACACTTCTTCTGTAGACATTACCTGTGTTAGTATATGTCTTTTAAAGAAAGTAACTTAGTTATGAAAGCAATAAACTCTTTTGATTGACTTAAGTTATAAAAGTGTAGGTGCTTTAAAAAAATTTTATGGGCTTCAGTCAACATTGGTGCTAACAAATTATTTGCTTTGCAAATGATGAGTGTTTTTTAATTAAGAGAAATCTGAGAAAGAATATCTATTTTTAAAAATCCTAGTACAATCCAAGAAATCTACATAGAACTTATAAAAAGATGCTCTGCTTCCTGAGTTGTAAACTGTAATACTATCTCCATGTTTTCAATTATTTACCACCTTCTTCCTGTGAGGATCATACCTGCCCACCTAGTATACGATCTTCAGCCTTCACCATGTGACTTGCTTGGTGAGTGAGATATAGGTGAAGAGTGATATGTACCACTTGCAAGCAGAAGATTCAGGAGCCACAGCGGGTTCTGTTGTGTTTCCTTTTCCCTCTATTGTGAGACCAGCATGTTCCATGTAGAGGTTACACTTTCAACCTTCAGTCTTGGTCCAAGAATCAAGAAGACATGGACAGAACCAGAGCCAACCCACCAAGGGAATGTAACATGAGCAAGGAATAAACCACTGTTACTGTAAGTCCAGAAGATTTGGAGGTTGTTACTGCAGCACAACCTGGTGAAAGTTGACAGTGATGAAATAAATGCAAATCAAAATATTGAGATGTTATTTCATATCCATATGACTTGGTCAAAATTAGTTAAGTCTGATAGTAAGAAGTGCTGTAGACAATGCGGAAAAATTAAATTTAGTAGTTGCTGGTTGGAATTTAAATTGGCACAAGCACCTTGGAGATTACTTTGGCAGTATCTGGGAAAAATGAAGATGTAAAACTGCATCTTATTAACCTAATAACTCCACTACTAGGTGTCTACCCTGAAAGAATTCTTACACAACATGGAAATGTGTAATGTTCACTGAAGCAGTGATTATTATACTATATAAAGAAATCAACCATCCCTCGGGAAGGAAATGGATAAACTGGTTCAGTCATTCAAAGGAATACTATACAGCAGTTACAATGAATAAGGTAGATTTAAACATAAAAAGATACATGCAGAGCAAGAGAGGAGATGGGAAGGAGTCTTTAGCAATGGCTTTAATGTTGTATGTCCTTTAAAAAAATCTAAAGCACATTGCAAAATGGTAATATCTGATTAAAATTTTTATGATAAATATGTCTCTTTTATTATTTTATTTTTTGTAGGTTTTAAATATATTGTGGTTTTTAAAAAGATAGGGAACAGAAAGAGTTTTAAACCATAAAGCACACTGATCAATCTTGAGGCTTGGTGATATAAAGAACTCTAGAGATGACAGCAGCCTTCTAGATTATCTAAGTAAGCCTATGTCCTATAGCTGAAGTCAGTTCCTGGGCATCAGTGTGGCCCACAGAGGCAAAGTAAAGGACTCAAGCTCACATAACAAGTAATCATCAAGTTGGTTCTCAAAATCGACTCTCTAACTTCTAGGATAGGAAGGAAAAACAATGGACATGTGGTAAAATACACTGTAAATCAAACTCAAAACACCATTCTTTTGTTTTCTTTATTGCCCCCACCTCACTCCTGAGACACACAAGTATCAGCTTCTTTCTCTCTCTCTCACACACGCACCACACACAAAACTTTAGGAATTTTTTCATTTTCTATTGTCACTTCTCTTCTTGAAATAACTGAAATATCAGAACAACTGTAAAGGAAACGAGTAGAATAAAATTTTAGCTAATACGAAGATTAAAGGCAAGGACCCATGAATCATTCATCTTAGTACCCTCCACGCCTTGCACTACAATACATACTGAAACATATAATAAATTATTGTTCAAACAGACAGACCTAAGATTTCTATCTTACCACACTGAATATTTTTATTGTTGTTAAAGTATAAATTCAGTTTTTAATAAACAAGAGTGAAAGAGATTAGGGAAAAAATGGTTTTGACATTCAATAGATTTGAAGATCAAAGACTATTATTATTTTAAATGAGCAAGATCGGTCCCATATGTAGCAGATAAAGCAGTGTAGTTCAGTGGTCAGGTTCAAGACCTCCAGAGTCAAACTGCCAGGACAGGAATTCTGGCTCAGCCACTAAGTAGCTGTGAAATTCTGGGCAAGCTACTGAACCTCTCTAGTTATCTAACATACTGCACCGTAACAACACAGACACCCATAACAACACCTACCCATATAGATTCTTATGTAAGCAATACATGAGGCAATCCATTCAGAGGTCTTCACACACTTCTTCTGTAGACATTACCTGTGTTAGTATATGTCTTTTAAAGAAAGTAACTTAGTTATGAAAGCAATAAACTCTTTTGATTGACATAAGTTATAAAAGTGTAGGTGCTTTAAAAAAATTTTATGGGCTTCAGTCAACATTGGTGCTAACAAATTATTTGCTTTGCAAATGATGAGTGTTTTTTAATTAAGAGAAACTAAATAAATGAACTAGATTTTAAGTCATTATTTTTCTCAGGATAAAAACACGTGGGATTAAAATGCTGAAACTTCATGCCTGAAATATCAGCCTAGTGCTACCATTTCTCCTTAAAAGAAACACCTTATATACAGACAGAGCTAATACTCAAACTATTTAATGCCCATACAGAACAGACGCCAGTCAAATTACCAGGGCAGACAGGCAGAGCATCAGCCCTGCTTACACCCATGGGTCAAAAAATATCACCTGTAATGGAAACAATGACCCTCTTCTAAGTTTTCTTGTATTTAGCGCAAAATTGACACACCCGCTTATAGGAACACAAAACTGTGTCCACTGTGCCATGCCACAACGACAGGCTAGTGCTGTTTCCCCCACACAGACAGCTCTCCGATCAGTCCTGCCTCACCTCCAGGTCACAGCTGTACTCAGTGCCATCGAGGAGGGTCACTTTACACGGGACAGTCTTGGTCTTCTTGGCAGTTTTTTGAGAGGGCTTCACAGCTTGTAGCTCATTGGTCTGTACTTCCTTTGTCTCCCTTTTTGCTACTTCCTCTGATTTGTCTTCCTGTATTTCGTTTACCTTCTCTTCTTCTTTCTCCTCACTTAGTTCTTCAACAGGCTATTGATGAAAAAAATTAAGTTCATACTGAAGTTAACCAATTTGCAGAAGACAACATATTAAAAGGAAAATTTTTAGTAAGAACTGTGATTGTTAAAACACTGTAGGCCTAAGACTTTTAAAAACTTCAAAATTCTGTGAGAAAAGATATTTCCCATATCTTCTTTCCCCCAAATCCACTGCAACCTTTCTCATGTTGCCAATTTGGTAATTTCAGCATTCAATTAATAAGCTATATCCTGTAACCACAATTTAAATATCATTTCAATAATAAAATTTCCAGTTATAATCTCATACCACGGCAAAACCTAGGCTACATTAGGTAACTGACTTGCACACACACAGAAATGTACTTCCTCCTACTTCCTAAAGACTTAAATAAATCAAATCAAAGAGGTATAAAAGTACATACTATATTCTGTACAGCAATGGACACCATCAGCAGAACAGAAACGCATCCTACAGTATGGGAGAATATATTCATAAATGACATATCCGATAAGGGGCTAACATCCAAAATATATAAAGAACTCACATGCCTCAACACCCAAAAAGCAAATAACCTAATTAAAAAATGGGTAGAGGATCTGAACAGTTTTCTAAAAAAGAAATTCAGATGGTCAACAGGCACATGAAAAGATGCTCCACATCACTAATCATCAGAGAAATGCAAATTAAAACTGCAATGAGAGACCACCTCACACTAGTTAGAATGGCCAACATCCAAAATCAAGGAACAACAAATGCTGACAAGGATGCAGAGAAAGGGGAACGCTCCTATATTGATGGAGGGAATGTAAATTAGTTCAACCATTGTAGAAAGCGACATGGAGGTTCCTCAAAAAACTAAAAATGGAAATACCATTTGACCCAGGAATTCCACTCCCAGGAATTTACCCATAGTAAACAAGATCCCTGATTCAAAAAGACATGTGCTCCCCTATGTTTATTGCAGCACTATTTATAATAGCCAAGATATGGAAGCAACCTAAGTGTCCATCAGTAGATGAATGGATAAAGAAGAGGTGGTACACATACACAATGGAATATTATTCAGCCATAAGAAGAAAACAAATCCTACCATTTGCAACAACATGGATGGAGCTAGAGGGTATTATGCTCAGTGAAATAAGCCAGGTAGAGAAAGACAAGTACCAAATGATTTCACTCATATGTGGAGCATATCAACAAAGCAAAACTGAAATAACAAAACAGCAGCAGACTGACAGACCCCAAGAAGGGACTAGCAGTTACCAAAGGGAAAGGAGGTGGGGAAGGTGGGTGGGAAGGGAGAAGAGGATTAAGGGGTATTATGATTAGCATATAATGTAGAGGGGGTCACGGGGAAGGCAGTGTGGCACAGAGAAGACAAGTAGTGACTCCATAGCATCTTACTATGCTGATAGACAGTAACTGTAATGGGGTATGAGGCGGTGACTTGATAATAGGGGTGAATGTAGTAACCACAATGTTGCTCATGTGAAACCTTCATAAGATTGTGTATCAATGATACCTTAATCAAAAAATAAGGAAAATTAAAAAAAAAAATTTTAACTACTTTCACAGTAATACTAAGACATGTACAAAAAAAATTAAAACAAAACCTGATTCATTTAACATTTTGAAAAAAAAGTGGTGAGTAAACTGCTGTCACTTTATTAGCATTATTCAAGGCAAGTAACATTAAACTATCATTGACTTGGTTCACCCCATTCGCTTGCATTGACCCAAAAATAAAAAAGGCCATTTTACTTAAAATGTTCTTGATATGAAGTGATAAAAGTTATTACGTTTTTAAATTTCTACTAAATTTAGAGTACACATCTCTTTAGTATTCTGTATCATGGGATGGGAAGAACCCATAAAGTACTGCTGCTGCACACTGAACTGTGAAGGTTGTCATGAGAGGAAGCACTTATGCAACTGTTTGAGTTGCAAGCTCAACTGGCCACTTTTTTCATGGAACACCATCTGAAAAAATGACTTACAGACAAAAAATACAGTGGCTCAAATATGGGTATATAAAAGAACATTTTATTTAAAATGAAGTGAGATGACACTTCAAGAAAAACAACTAACAGTATTTGTTGCCAAATATTTGAGCTTTTAAGAAAAAAAAATAGGAAAACATATCTGCTACTATGAGATTGGTAGCTTTTCAGTACTTAAAACTTTTTTGATAAGCTCTTTGGTGATATGAACAAATGTCAACACTATTATATTATTAAGATCCTCAAATTAAGTAAGTCACTGTTTTCAAAATGACCAATGTATGATGTAACAAAATCATGAGTGGGTAAAAAACCCATGCATAATGCAAAATAGACCAATACATGAATGTAGCAGGGTACAAGTAGTTCATTTATGTGGTTTCAGTTTCCACACTGTAACTTTAAGAAATCACTACTTGTCCAGTTTTGGTGCAGTATAACAAAGAAAGACATCTATAATTATCTGAAAAGGCTATTAAAATACTCCTCCCTATTCCAACTATCTTTATGAGGCTAGATTTTCTTTATATATTTCAGCCAAAATAACATATCACAACAGACTGGATACAAAAGTATATATGAAAACCCAGTTGTCTTCCATTATGCTAGAGAGTAAAGAGCTTTGCAAAAAATGTAAAACAATACCACTCTTATTAAATTCTTTTGTCTTGGGGGAAAAAAAACAAGTACATACTATTTAAAAGAGGAGGAGGCAGAATTCTGAGAGTATCTGTTTAAAAGAAACAACTTTTTTTTTTTACGGTTTGCATATATAGATTTTTTGCTTTGTCTTATTATTTTGGAGGGTTTTAAAAGAAGTAACAAGAGAAGGCTGGGCAGACCATCCAAGACCCACATTCCAGATATAGTAAGCTGAAGTACTATCTTAACAAAAGAACTCCAGGAATGATTCGAAACAAATCCTTTCTGGTACGTGGTTATGCCATCAAGCTTTCATTTCCAGACAATCACTTCTTGAACCTACCTGTGTCTCAGGACCGCTCACCAAAGGTTTCTCTTCTTTGACATCAACCTTAACCTCTTGTTTTCTCTGAGCTATTTCTTCAGCATCACCCTTGGCCTGCCTTTCTTCAGCAGGAAGAGATTCCTCTTTACCTAAAATCTGTTCTTCCACAGCAGCTTGGGTAGGCTCTTTTCTATCTCCTCCATCTTTGGCCAAGACTAAGTTGTAGGACTTTTGTTTCTTGAGCCATGGGGGTATGAACCGAGATATACCCCTGCTCTCAGATGGATCCTTCTCTCTCTTGCGGCGGCGTGAACTATTTTGGCTTTCAGCTGTAGGAGATGACTGGGAACCTTTTTCCTCCTCTGGACCAGATGACTGATTCTGCTGATTTTCCACCACTTCGTCGGGGTCCTCCTTGGTTGCTTCTGCTCCTAACTGGTCAGATTCCTCCTTAACTTCGGGTGCAGAACCTACTTCAGTAGTCATGGTCACAGCTTGCGCTCTAAACAGAACAGAATTCGCAAAATGTTACTTCACAAACTCTCCCAGGTTTAGTTTGGAGGCAAAGAGCAGGGTAAGGAAGGGTGGGAAAGATGATGGGGAGAAAACAGGGAGAGAAAGAAGGTTCTTAAGCACAAGAGAAAAAAGGAGATTACTACTCCATCTTTGAGAATTCTCTAACAAATCTAAAAACCAACACTGACGTCACAACAGCTATATAGATGGAACTTAAAATCACCAAGAGCTCTAGAGAGAGTGCTTGCTTTTATTGGGTTTTATAGCTATTAACAAAAAATTCGCCCCCCAAAAAGCCATTTTTTTAAGGTAAATAGCTTTCCTCTATAGTTGTTATCCTTTCTTCTATTATATGAAATGGTACTGATAATGTTATAAAGTACTGAGCTACACTTCACAGCTGCATATGTCAAAACTAAAATTAGGGGTTATGGAAATGAATTTTAAATGTTGGGGGCTTCACAGTGAGAGATTTAAACCTGGAGCAGAAATGTATTCTTTTTGTTCCAATATTAAATCCTATAATTCACCATCATTATTCCAATGCAAAAGTTAAGTCTTCTGGGAAAGGTATTCAAATGATAATTCAAACTCCAAACCTTCCACCACCACCCAACCTCAAACACAGTTTTCCTTGTATGTAGGATTATAAAAAGAGTGTCTAGGGGCCCCTAATCTGAATCAAATGAAGACATGGGAGGATGGAAAAAGAATGCATGTAATGATTGATCCTATCACAGCTAATGAAAACAAATTTGAAAGTAATTGGTTGTTTAAATTTTACACAAGCAAAGAGGGACTTTCAAAATATATCAGCAATACTGACAAAAAAAACAACAGGGAGGAATGGCAGAGACAGCACACTCTCTCCTCTCTTGCCAGTGATAAAAGTGCTCAGAGGCCTGGCCAAAAGCATAATTTCCCAGCTATCTTCAAAAGTGGTACAAAGTTGGAGAGCTCAAAACACACAGTACATTTCTTTGAGATATAACTCACATACCATAAAACTCACCATTTTAAAGTGTACAGTTAATGGCTTTGACTATATTCACAAGATTTTGCAACTATCACCACTACCTAATATGAGAATGTTTTCTAATTAAACATAACTTATTTTTGAGAACATTTTCATCATTGCAAAAAGAAACACTGCTTCCATGAATAGTTACTCTCTAGTCTCCCTTCCTCCCAACCTCTGGCAACCACTAAGTGTACTTTCAGTCTATGGATTTGCCTATCTGGGCATTGCAAATAAATGAAACTATACATGTAGCATTTTCACTTAGATTAATGTTTTCAAGGTTCATCCATGCTGTAGCATGTATCAGTATTATACTTGTTTCTTAAAATAGTTTCACCATCATTTTTACAAACCATGTACCTGTTAAAGATGCTAGTATCCAAAATACATTTTTAAAAATTCTTACAAATTAACAGTAAAAAAAAAAACCAACTTCAAAAGGGCAAAAGATTTGAGTAGACACTTATCCAAAGAAGACATACAGATGGCCACAAGCACTTGAAAAGATGCTGAACACCATCAGTGTTAGGAAATTAGGAAAATGCAAATCAAACCACAGTGACATGCCACTTCATCTATGCTAGCTGGCTATAATCAAGACAGATGGTAACAGGTACTGGTGAGCACATGGAAAACTTGGAACTCTCAAACAGTTCTGGCAAGAACATAAAATGGTGCAGCCACTTTGGAGAACAGTTTGGCAGTTTCTCAGAAAGTTAAACATATATTACCATTCTAACCAGCAATTCCACTCCCAGGTATATGCCCAAGAGAAACAAAAACATATGTTCACAAAAACACTTGTCAGTGAACATTCCTAACAGCATTATTCATAATAATCCAAGAATGGAAGAAACCCAAATGCCCAGCCACCACTGAATGGATAAACCAATGTGCTATGTGCACACAAGAGGATATTGTGAAGTCACAAAAAGGACTGAAGTACTGATAACACGCCGCCACATCCAAACCTTGGAAACACTGTGCTAGGTGAAAAAAGCCAGGTTCAAAAGTCTAATCTGTTGTATGATACCATTTATAAGATTCCAGAAAAGGCAAATCCAAAGAAACAAAGTAGATATGTGGTAACAAAGGGCTGGAAGGAGAGGAGAATAGGGAGCAACTGCTAATGGGTACAGGGTTTCTTTTTGGCGTAATGTAAACGTCCCAGAAGTAGACAGTGGTGATTGTTGCACAACCTTGTGAATATACTTAAAACCCCTGAATTGTAACCTTTAAAAGGGTAATATCTCAATGATAAAAAATATTTTTTAAAATGTTCATTTCTAATATGCAAAGATAAAAACATTCAGTCAGTCAGTCAGTCAGCCTAAATTTAACGGACACCTACAATGTGCCAAGTACTGAGCACATGAAGAGACTGCCTGCAAGGAGCTGAGGAGTGGGCAGTACAGACAAGTCAAGAGCATGTTGCTTAAAAAGTACATGAAACTTCACCAGATTAGGAGAGGAGGAGCCATTAGGCAGTCTTTCTGCAGAAGCTGACACCTGAGTTGCTTTAAAATGATGAGCCCTCATTGTTCAAGCAAGGGAGCCAGATAGTAGGCATGTGCCAGGCACAGGGAAGAGTGGAAATGTGAGAATATTCTTTCAATAGGAAACCCCAAGTACTGAACAAAAAATGCACTGTACAACTGAAGCAGGGGCTTGTGAGTGGGAATAGGAGGGAAGGAGGGAGGTGAATTAGTAATGATGAGCAAGCACAAAACAGAACGTGAAAGGTTTTGTGTATTATGCTAAGAAAGGTCTGGAGGATTATTTAAAGGCAATGAGAAGTCATACAAGCACTTTAAGTAGAGGAGTAATATAATTAGATTCACATTTCACATAGTCCAATCTGGCTGTGAAGTACAGGTTGAAGAGAAGAGACTGAAATAGACGTGCAAGCGGCTGCTCCAGTAATCCCGGCATGAGAAGATGATGCTCTGTACTAAGGCAGAAGCATTAAGACAGGGGGTAAAAAATGAATCTAATGGTAAAGAAGTAGACTGGACATGACATGGTGTCCACGCTGAATATGGCAAATCAAAAAAAAGAAAGAATCAAGAAAAAGTCCCAGGTCATGGGAGACTAGAGAGAAGGCAGAACTAGCCATGGAAATAGGGAACATGAGGAAAAGAGGGTCTGGTTGAGACAATAAAACTCAAATTCTGAATTCATTGCAATTGAGAAGTTTGTGGAGGTGTCTAGTTGGCCACTTGACACACAAGTCTCGAAAGCAGGCAGAGTGTAGGCAGGAGAGGTGCACATTTGGGAGTTGTCCCATCTGAGTGACAGCTAAAAGCACAGGAGACACTGACATCACCTAAAGAAATGTGCGGTTCGAGATCAGAGGGTCCTGATAAGAGCTCTTATCACCACCAATATTTAAGAGTCAGTAAGAAAAGGCATGAGGAAAAGAAATACATAGTGAGACAGAGGGATCAGGGGCAATACTGTCCTTGAAATGCTACAAAACAGGGAATAGTTAGGTAACTGTAACATGTACATGTCCAGTCTTACTTCTCATCCTTAGATATTTTTTTAAATTTATAATTCTATCCATGTTTGGAAATTTAGGAAGAGGTAAGGCAAACATATGTTGTAAAGTCATTATATCAACCTTCTTTCCTATCAAGAAAAAAGCTCAATATTATTACTGAGCTTTTTCCTCCTAAGATCTAAGATGAAAGCCCAGGTAAATAGCTTTACGAATGGCAACTCTATTCTAAGTTGCTGTTTTTCTCTACTTAAACTGTAAAACATACACAAACAGCTCTCCCATTTCCCCCACCACTCACCCCCACCTCTGACAACTACCAATCTCTTCTTTTATCTATGAGTTGGTTGTGGTTCTTATTATTTAAGATACCATATAAGAGAGACCATGCAGTATTTGTCTTTCTCTGCATGACTTATTTCACTTAGCATAATTCTCTTGAGGTCCACCCATGTTGTCAGAAATGTCAATATTTCATTCACTTTTATAGCTAAATAATATTTCCATTATAAATCTATATCACAGATTTCTTTGCCCATTCACCCATCAATACATTCAGGCTACTTCCATAGCTGGACAATGTAAATAATGCTGCAATGAACATGGATACATATATCTTTTTGAGTTAGTGTTTTCATTTTCTTTGGATAAATACCCAGATATGGAATTATTGGATTATATGGTACTTGTTTTTAATCTTTTGAGAAATCTCCATACTGTTTTTCACAGTGGTGGTACCACTATTAGACATTTAAAATTCAAAATAATGTCTTCCAGTAAGACCCTTATGAGTACCTGAATTGGCTCCATGTTGCACAAAAAAGTTTTTTTCCTTAAATTACCATTTTCTATGAACCCCTTAAGTAGATGTAATTTACATTAATCATGAAATGTGCAGAGTTGATTTTTAGCATATACTCTCTAATTACATTTTGAGAGTTGAATCAATACCCTGGCAAAAATTAAAATAAGAATATCTCTTATGTGTCCAAGTTAACCAGATAATTGGCAGCTCTCTAACAACTTAGGCTGTGAGAAGTAATCTGGAGATAAGTCAACTAAAGTTAATTTTTGGTCAAAATATTTCAGAACAAATGAAATATAAAACTAAAGCTTACACTACTGTGTTAAATGCATTAATGTTTGTGTTGTAATCATTAACAGTTATTACTCACTGCTTACTGTGTCAGACATCGTGCACATAATTACTAATCGTCAAAACATCCTACAGAATAGTTATTCCCACCATTTTGCAGATAACACACTGAAGACTAAAAGTTAAGGGACTTGTCCAGGGCTACCTGGGGGACTACACAGCTGTTTACACGTTTGTCACCTGCATTTCATGAAGCAATCACAGCTTCATTGTTTACTAATGATCAAATCAACCAGAGCCCTTGGCTCAGTCCTCAAAGAAGATTCACATCCGTTTGTGAAAATGACTACAGAACAACATGAATTTATT